GGTAGTTCTAAAGAACAACCCAAAAAAAATGTTTTCCCCCAAAATAAAATTTGACAACAATCAATTTCATTAATGGGAGACCCTAAAGATAAGAAAAATCATTGTTGTCATTTGTTCTACCTCGGGTAGTGGTATCTCAAAAACTAAAGCCTTTTTTGTGGACTTGCTGCTGGACTATTAACCTTTGTGTGGTGGGCTTAAATTGAACCATAAAAAAAGTTACTCAAAGAAAAATTATACAAACATTTAATATAACATATTTTTTTACGTAAAGTATAACTTTATCATAGTTGACACTTTCTTGGTATTTTTCTGTAGCAGAGAGTAATTGCAAATATGAATTACATACTGTATGTTATCTATACATTGTTGGGGATAGTGGGTTAGGGTTAGGGTTATGTCTTTTGCTGATGAAACAAAGTGCCTTCAATATTATTATGTCATTATCAAGTTATGGCGTGCCAGACAGTTGTAAGACACGCCCCGGTCATCACTGTACTCACTTATGAAAGCTGGGGATCCTCATGGCGCCAATCTCTGCATACCAGCCCTCTCTATTATTCCTGAAGGTCTCCACACGTCCTCCAATACGGTTACTGGCTTCTATTATGGTCACCTTTTGGTCCACATAAACAACTATTGAATACACATCTTCTCAACCCATATTCCAGGTATCGTCTCCAGGCTATCCCCTCGGAAAAATATAAGTTATCCGTATCATTTCCAGCAAAGGTCTTTGTTTTACCTTATGTCCGGCATCTTCTAAGATCTTTGCAGCAGTCAGTCCAGCGATGCCCCCGCCGACGATTGCTATGTGACGAGGTGTCTTAGTGGGAGGCAGACCTTTATCCACAATGTCCAGAAGCTCACTGTAGTCTGTGTCTTGTAGGCACTCATACAGAGGGTCTCCAAAGATCCCACTCACAGCGAACACCACAAGCCCGATGAGAACCAGAGGAACTGATGGAACAATAAACCGTGAATTCAAGTGAATTCCAAAAATCATGAGGCAAATTCAGAAATGGAACAATACTTCCATGCTGTAAAAGTCAGAATTTAACAACTTGCACTGAAAAAAGAAACAAAGCGTCCAACTTCCAGTTTCCTTTCCTTAATCCTGAGCTCACAAACACAACACACAGCGCAGCTCTAGCAGAACTAAGGATGTATGACCAATCATTGATTCCTATTGCACCTTCACAATAATCCACCTGCAAAACATCTCACTTTCAAGATGCAGATTCAATGATTAAATCCATACCAAATAATAATTGTAAAATATATGCAATACACTATTAATGTAATGTAATAGCAGTTTAATTAGTACTTACATAATTTGCACAGTGCCATGTGAGGGATCATCTTGAGAATGGTACTCCACTTCTTCCTTCTGATACTGACACTATTAGAGGAAGCCTAACAATGACGACATGTTACAAGTTAAGTAGACAAATGTTCAGGAAGTACTGTCAAAGCAATTACTAGATACAAATATCATAGTAGTACTGTAAATGTGTTCACTTGAAACTGTTTTTTTTCTTAGAAAATTATAGATTCTTAGAATTTGGTTCAAAAGCGACCAATATCATGCACAAATCATCTTAAATGGGTGAGAAATTCTCCTAGTTCAGACAGGACTATTTCTGTGTTCCACTCACCTTTGACAAAGGTAATGTCTTGTAGGTTGTCATAAGCCTATGCATGACTGAGGAGAAATGACTGAGTCCCTGCTAAAACTCAACTTTCTAGTCTTTGTCTCTCCATCCATAAAAAGCCTGGAAAACCCGGACGCGTGGTATGTGTGAAATCCCACACAATGTAATTCTAATGAGGGACTGAGTGGCTCCTCAGGTCTTCCAGAAAAATGTTCCCACACCGGCTCAAGAGTCAACCACACTGAACAAATCAGATTAGTGAGGGTATACTAGTCACTAGCATACCTCATTTCCTCCATCTTCACTTAATATCTGACCTGAAAGTGAAAATGTACTGGTATCTAAAAATGTGAAACTTAATTTAAACTTAAAAACGTAATTTTTTTTGCTATTACAGATAATGCATTCAAATAGATTTAACTTCTTACATAGTCTTTTTGCCAGATTAAAGCACTCATCTAACTTAATCTTAATCTGTCAGCAGAGAGTGGCAAATAAACAGCTTTTATAGGCTGTAGGAAAAAAAGCAAAAGCAAGAAGAAAAAAAAAAGAAGCCAAGTTTTATTTTCCAGACAGAAGCAGCTGACATTGAAAGGGTTTTGTGTTCAAAGCACGCAGGCAGAACAACTACTGTTATGGGAATTGAAAGTGACAAAAGTAAAAGAATGAGGAAACATTTTATTCAAATGGACAAAAACAAGCAAATAGATATAAGACATAAAAGTCCAGTTGAAGCCTCGCAGACACCTTGCCTAATGAAGATCGTGCTGTCATCATATTTCAGATAGTTTGTGACTACCAAGGCACACA